GGCCTCAGCCTCCTGGGGTGCTGGGATTACAAGCATGCACAACCATGCCTGCACACTTCTGATATTCTTCAGATGCTTAAAAAAAGGTTTTTCTATCCCAAATTTATAGAAAAATATTTTATATCTTCTATTAATCTACTTTTAGTTTCACATTTGTATCTTCAGAGTACTTGAAATTTGTTATACATTTCATAAGATAGGGGTTGACCTTTAGTTTTTGTCAAGTGACCAGACTGTTACCCCAATAGAGTATCCATCCCCACTCATTTAAAAAATCCCTATACTTAGCTCCATCTGCTTCCAGACTTTCAGGTTTTCCTCACCAACTTAAGCAGGGATCAGAGATAGCTTTCTTGGGGGTCTAAGGGAGATATGATGGTGGGGTTTGAACTAGGCTAATGGGTCAGGCAGGGACTTGACGCAGGGAGGTAGGAGAGGCAGAGAGGAAGTGGGTGGGAAGGTCCTGGGACCCCTTTGGACAGGGAATAAGACAGGTCTGTCTGGGAAAGCTCATGGCAAATGAGGTACAAAGGTAGAAGGGGCAGCTGCCCTTCTCCTGGATAAATAGAGAGCTCCCATCTGGGACTCTCCGGTGACCTGGCCCTGCGTTCCTCTCCAGCCTTGTCTCCATCCAAGCCCCCACCCCTCAGTTTTACACGTGGTTTGTCAGCTGCAGCAGCCCCCATGTGTTCCTGCTCCTGCTCACAAGCTCCCTCCCTCCCCATCCCCCTCTGGACTAGAGCCCTTGTGTTCCCATCCCTCTTCTCCCTGCAGGAGCTTAGGGCTGCCCCCTTCTGGGAGGCCCCTCCCCTCTCCCACCCCATCCTGGTGCTCACCCCCAGCTCAGGCACTAGACCTGGCTGCCAGAATCTGTTTCCCTGTTGGGCTGGGTGGTTTCTGTAGTCAGAAAATCGCTTCTTACTCATCTTTGTACTCTGATCCTCTAGCGTGGAGCCTGGTACACGGACGATTTGTTCAGTGATATCCATTGACTGAGCGAACAAGATAAAAAAAAAAAGATCGCTGCCCTTCTAAAAATGTCAGCTTTGTTGTGCAGAATAGCGGGGGCACCGCAGTTACAGCTCAGACACACATCTGCAAGGAGAGATTGTCCCCACCACTCACATGCAGGGGGTTTCTGGGGGGAAGACTGACGGATTCCTGGGTGATCTCGGGTTATGCAACAACGCACATGCAGTGTTTAGTATGTGCCTCACCTTACAGCAGTGGGGAGAGAAGGGGTGAGGAAGTTCCAAGGGACATTACAATTTGAGCAAGGCATAGGAAGTGAATAAGGAGCTGGTGGGAAGAATGCTTTACATACAGGTCTACCTTGTTATATTCATGGTTAAGTCTACCTCTTTTATTTTGCCTCCAAAATCGTCACCTCCAGAACTGACTTGGCATGAGCTGCTGACAGTTCAGGTATTTATTTGTACAGAAGCAGTGAAGCTTCATGAAAATTCAAAGCATAGCTTTGACATTCCTATTCAGTTATAGTTTAAACTAGTTGGGAACATCAAGTTGTATATACTTGCTTCATGTGGGTCAAGTCTCATGGCAAGGTACTTTTAGACTGAGATGCATGTCCTCAGAATGTTCCTGGCTGGGCAGGTACAGTGTGGAGATTCTTCTTAGTCTGCCCCAACCTGGTGGAAGAAGACCCAGAACAGAATGTGGGATATCTTACTAGTCAAGTTTTCAGAGCTCTATGCAGTAGTAGAGCATGCAGAAATCTAGTTTTCACTAATCCAAAGGGAAGCTGAGGCTGAGAGAAAGTATTTAGAGCCTTAATTTCTAGAAAGGAATGAATGTATGTATCAGCATAGAGAGACAGACATGTATAACCTTTGAAGTTGGAAGGTCAGAACTCTATAGTTTTTCTGACATAGTCCTTGGATGTGCATGTGTAAGTGTGTGTGTGCATGTGTGTGCGCGTGCTGTACTTGTTTTGCCTTCTGAAAACTTTAGACTTGTTTGATGGTCTGCTAATAGAATCTGTAGTCCAGGTCACATACTCATTTCACCATATCACACATGAACAGAATCCTAAATGGCATTCATAATACCTTAATCCATCAAATAAGAGAGAGAGAGAGAGAGAGAGTGTGTGTGTGTGTGTGTGTGTGTGTGTGTGTGTGTGTGTGTGTGTTCTTGAGGAATCTAGTAAAGGACTGAAAACTGAAGAGTTGTTTCAATGCCTTTGTCCTACATTAGAACAAGAAATTGCTGGCAGAGAACTGTGATTTCAGCCATTTGACTAGGGTTTTGGTAATAACTATTGTAGGATCATAGTATGTGAATTCATATTTGTCATGGCTTATAGTGAAGTTAAAGATGCATGGCTGGTCTTCAGACTTTAAGAACAAAAGAGAGTAAGTGTGGGATATAGTATCTAAGAAGTGTTATTCTAGGGATCCACAGTCCTGGGCTAAGAGTCAGAATATGTTCCCCAAGTCATTCTTCATCTGCCAGACATCTCACACTCTTCCCAGAATGAACCATGGGTATTGGCTAGTTAGACTGAGTTTGATTCCAAACTATGTCCTTTTTAACACTGTAACAACAAACTTTTAAAGTATCTACAAGTTGTCTGAGTTCAACTGCTTGGTTCCAGGTTAGATACAGTTCCACAATTAAAATCATCTTGGAAAAGAACTATGGAGGTCAAGTTCAGAAACATTTTAAAATATTCAGTAGAGAAAAACATCCATACCTTGTAACCAGTATGTATTTTTGTGTTTTCTTTTTCTCTAACAATTAGATAAAAATTACCATTAAAACTGTTATTCAGACATAGGGGAAAAAACTTTTATGTTTCTACCAGATGCTTCTTTTATTTAGTGTTCTCTTCTACTTTTCTTCTTTTTGCCCAAGAATACACCACTGTGTCCTTGTGTTTACAGGGTTTCTCCATAAAACGGTTTGGGGAAAAGGAAGAGATAAGCAAATTGATCCTAGTCATTCCCCACAGAAGTAACTGCACCTTCTCAATGTCCTGCACCCTATTTCCTACTTTATTTCCCAACAAAAGGAGGAAGATAAATATGAGAAATTCCCACAAGTCTAGTCTGTAAATCTCTGGAATCCAGTTCCTTCCATATAGAATAAGCTTTCCATCAACCAGTGTGTGTGTGTGTTTCCCATTCTTGCCATGGTCTATTTTATAAAACGTGCAAATATAAAATAAGACAATAGTAACTTCCCTGGCCCAAGTCATGTATATTTGAATTAATTTGCAACTGAAGAATCAAAATTGATGCTCAGGGAAGAAGAGCTGTGGAAAGCTCACCCATGAATGAGAGAGAATGTCACAGACTAGATACTGGGTCTGTGTAGCCTACCCAAACCAGTGTTGTCTATTCCTAGGGGCAGTACACTGGCTGAATTGTTGGAAACATGTTACTGAGGGATGCCAGGAGCCACTCTTCACTGATGTCCTTTCAGAAGGCACAGTAATGTGTCAACATCTACCAAGAGGCCTCCTGCCAGGTTCACCACAGCCAGTGAGCCAATAGCACAAGTAGCTACAGGAAGGTACCTCGCTGCCCCTTTGAACCTCTTCAGGAATGTTCCTTGGCACAGAGGACATTGGAATAGAACAGGCCTTCTGTTGCTGCATTCCACAGTTGTATGAGACCCTGGTCACTTACGTGCTTGAGAGTTTTTTGGGTTTTGTTTGTTTTTTAAGCATGCTGATTTGGGGAAGCATGAAGCTTTTAATTAGAAGTAAAAGTCATTGTCATAAGGGAAAGAAAAAAGTAAAATAAAATGCAGAGTAGATACTTTTTTAAAAGCTGTGGGTTAAACTGTCACGATTTTCAGTAGAGGTTTCTCTGGTTGGCTCAGGGAATTACAGTGCTCTTATCAAGAAATATGTGCCTGCTCCTTAGAACTCCCAAGAGGCCTGGTTGTGGAGACTCCTTGCTCTATAGGACAGCCCAGGGAGGTAGTTGGATTTCATTTCTCACTCAGCCCCAAGACCCTGGAAGTAAACCTAGTGTGGTGTTTCCCAGGGGTCTCCTGAGCTGCCGGTAAACTAAGAATGAATGGAGAACGTCCCTGGATTCAGAGCCTCACTCCCAAAGCAGCACAAGATCCTTTCCAGGGAGGGGATGGAAGAATTGCATTTTTCAAAGTGCATTCTTTCTTGTCAGGCTGATTTCCATTGTCATGGGCCTAATTTATTTGCAAGGCTAAAAGCAAACCGATAGGAATTCATACCCAGCCTCTGAACCGTCACATTATCAGCCTGTAACTTGAAGTCGTCTAGAGTCTTCATTGCAGATTGTCAAAATTAATGACATAAATTGTGTTCCAGTTAACTGAGATTGTAGAAGGATAAGATCAATCTCAAATATGAGAAACCCAAGTAAACAATTATAATTGATTTACTCCCGATTCGATATTGAATCTTAAATGCTTTATATTCTGAGAGGCATTAAAATCCTCAGGGAATATGTATTCAGTAGTCATGCTCACAGGCAGTCCAGAAAATCAGATGCTACGGTTAAGGAGTTCTTTTCTAAGAGCCATGTTTTCCAGATCGTTCCTCTCCTTTTCCACTAGGATGTGGAGTCGCACCATATTGTGTGGTAGTGAAGAATACAGCCTTGGGACTAGAGCCCTTGCCTGGCAATGCGTGGGGCCTTGAGTTCAATCCCAAGCACCACAAAAAAAGAAACAAGAAAAAAGAATACAGCCTCTTCACTGAATACACGTTCGCTCGTCTAGTTTTTACTACTTCCAAACATGTAGCCTTGGGAAGACTGTTTAATGGGGGCCTTGTTTTCTTTATCCTATAAAGTGGGGCCAGTGCTAGCATCGCCTCACTGAGCAGGTATAGAGATGAAACGAATTCATACGTGTCACTGGCACATAGTGAGCACACTGAGCCAGTGTCCCTTGTTACTGTTACGAGATGTTTTTTGGAAATCCAGTGTATGTCTGTAGTAACGGGGACTCTATGTCCTTGGTTATCATCTCTTCTCTCCTGACAGGAAAGTGGCAGATGCTCAGTGGCGGCCTCCTGAACATCACCAAGGTGTCCTTCTCAGACCGCGGGAAATACACGTGCGTGGCTTCTAACATCTATGGCACTGTGAACAACACGGTGACCCTGAGAGTCATCTTTACCTCTGGAGACATGGGCGTCTACTACATGGTTGTCTGCCTCGTGGCCTTCACCATCGTCATGATCCTCAACATCACCCGCCTGTGCATGATGAGCAGCCACCTGAAGAAGACCGAGAAAGCCATCAACGAGTTCTTTAGGACAGAAGGTGCAGAGAAGCTGCAGAAGGCCTTTGAGATCGCCAAGCGCATCCCCATCATCACCTCAGCCAAAACCCTAGAGCTTGCCAAAGTCACCCAGTTCAAAACCATGGAGTTCGCCCGTTACATCGAAGAGCTGGCCAGGAGTGTGCCTCTGCCCCCCCTCATCATGAACTGCAGGACTATCATGGAGGAAATCATGGAAGTGGTTGGGCTGGAGGAGCAGGGACAGAATTTTGTAAGGCACACACCCGAAGGCCAGGAGGCCACCGACGGGGATGAGGTGTTCACCATCCCCAACTCTCTGAAGCGGAGTGACTCTCCCACTGCCGACTCGGACGCCTCCTCGCTGCACGAACAGCCTCAGCAGATTGCCATCAAGGTGTCGGTTCACCCCCAGTCCAAGAAGGATCACGCGGACGACCAAGAGGGGGTACAGTTTGAGGTCAGAGATGAAGAGGAGACAGAACCCTCAGCCGAGCGTTCCCCGGAGACCGCAGAACCTTCTACAGATGTCACATCCACCGAGCTCACGTCCGATGAGCCGACACCCGTGGAGGTGTCAGACCGAGGCCTGCCACCAGCCCACCTGGAAGTCACAGAGCCAGCCGTGACACGTGACAAAAACACCTGCATTATTTACGAAAGCCATGTCTAACAGCAACTCCGAAAAGCTATGCATATCGAGAAAATCAGGGGCTGCTCCTTGTAACACAGATGTAGTTCGCACTTGCCGCTAAGCCTTACCAGGAGACTCATCCCTGTAGGTAGGAGTGAGACCGTTGGAGAAGGGGAGACAGCTGCGCACAGGTTACGGGACTGGCACCTCCTCCGTAGAAAGGATGCGAGAAAGATCAGGGTGCAGAATTGATAAGGGTCACACAGAAGGTATCCGTCCCTGTGATATGAATTTTAGAATGGGCCATTTTCTGCCAAACCCCTTCATTGGCGATGCCCTTCTGGCAAAGAGTACACTACTGTAAGATATTCCCGAGTTCCAGAGCTCTGTCCAATGCATCGGCATTGCTTTTCCTTTTAAAAATTATAGATCTGCTGCAATAGCAAACGCACGTATACATGGGTTTGTTGCACTTTCTTCTCAGTTTTATTTATGTTCACTGTTCCTTTATGACAGAGTAGTTGATATTATATTAATACTAATTGCTCTTTCTGATGGAGTCCTCTTTATCACCTTCACTTTTATTTTTCTCCAGAAAGGTTTACCTCAGAGGCTTTGGTATCAGTCACCGGTTCCAGGACTGATATCTGCAAGTCATTTGTGATGTTCCAAAGTAGTTGCTAGGATCATTATTATTTTTTTTTTTCATTCCCCAGGTCTGTTTTCATACTTTGCTTTTGTTTGTGAAGCTGCTCTAATGAAACTGAGAAATACTTGGCCCCAGAATCGCACTTTAATAGTCAAATAAAAAATGTGTTTACCTGTCCAATTCTGAGAGCCTTTTGGGGAACTCAACCGAGGTGTGGAGGGAGATTGTAAAAGGTTAAATATACCCACTCTGCTCATGAAAACTATTTACACTGAAGTAACATCATCCTCCAAACCAAGACTGGTTCTTTTACCTGGAAAATGTATCGCTTCCAAAGACGGAGGCATTTCATGAATTCCTATAGGTCATAGAGTCTTGGCATCTCAGAAGGGTTTGCAGGACCACGCACTGTCAGTCAACTAAAACACTTGACTTAGGGCAATAAATACAAGGATCTATGAAGTGCATAACCAGGTCCATTTGTGTAAACGACCTACTGACTTCCTGGTTCTTGAAAGGGAGAGTGAATGACTAGGGTGGTGGCATAGAGAACCATGCCATCAAGTTTTATGCCAAAATTATTGAATTATTAATCCCACACGGCAGTGTGATGTTATGGAAAGAAGATAAAACTAGTCATCCAGAGGCTTAACATTTCCCTGACTGTGCCAATAACTGGCTGCCTGGCATGGGGCAAGTCTGGGCCTCACTCTCCCTGTCTGTAAGAGGGGGCAGACTAGATGAGCTCCGAACGCCATCACTCTCTCAGAGACCAATATTAACATCTTTAGTCTTTTTCACAATTACTCTAAAGATTTTTTGCTTTCATCCCTGGGTTCTCCAAATATTTTTATGCTGCATTACTCAAATAAAAAGAATTAGTTTTGAAAAACCATAGCATCTTAAACAAATTGTGGAATCTCTCCTCCCCCACCCCCCAAAAATCATTAGGACCACTTCCATAATTTAGATTCAGTCTTAGGATGGTATTTTACTACATCTTCATGTAAAGCAAAGGAGTCATGGCCGTATCAAGTGTGATGAGCATCTGGGGCTGTGAAGTCAGAGGTTAAAAGGGCCACAGTGAGAGAGCAGACCCACATGGTCTTCACTCTCACCATCTGGGGAAGTGATCTTGGAAAGGTCCCTTCTTCCTGGGTTTAATCTTTTTTCATCTGTAAAACATGCAGGCAGTATTCAGTGGTCCATTACATCCCTCAAGTTCAAACAGAGTTTTATGGAATGTTTTCAATCCTCAGTTATCCCCATTGCACAAGAAAAGAACAAATGGGAGCAAAAATGGGTGCATGAGACTGGATGCTCTTGTGATCCATACTTCACCTTAAAGGTGTCTGGCTCTGTAACTGAGGTCAGTGGGCATGGCTTTAGGAGAGGTCTGGATGATGGGTTTATTTATAGGTAACTGATATGGAAGGTGATCTGGCAAGGCACGGTTTGACCAGACATACCTTTAAAGGTCACCTAGTTGGAAGCATCTTGTGGTAGGGGTGGGGGTTCACCTAATGAAATTAGTAGTGAGCAGTCAAAAGACCATCATTCCTGTTTGGGCTATCTGGATTATGGTTGGGTTTTGTTCTTGGGTTTTTTTTGTTTGTTTGTTTTTTGTTTTTTTGCCGATTTTTAAATTTTTTTTCATTTTACACGTACAACGACAGTAGAGTATATTTTGACAAACTTACATGGGGTATAATTTATTCTAATTAGGATCCTGTTCTTTGGTTGTACATGATGTGGAGTTTCACTACTGATGTATTTATATGTGGACATAGGAAAGTTATGTCGGATTCATTCCACTCTCTTTCCTATTCCCATCCCTGGGTTATGGTTTTGTTTTTAATTTGCAGGTTAGTTTTTTGTCTCCCCCTCTTAGAATATAAAGGTTTCCAATTGTTGTGGAGATTAACAAACTCTTACCTTCAAATTATAAGCCCAAAATAGCATCAGAGACTAGGAAACTCATCTGTGATGTCAGGTGAACTTGTCCCCATTCTATCCAGTTCTCATTCCACCAAACCCCATGCTGATTTCCACAAGAAAACCACGGAAGGCATCCATTCCATGTAGAGATTGATTAGGGATAATAAACTGGGCAGCTTTTTTTTTATGAAACAAGAGCTGAAATGTGTGACCAAAGAATGTTTCTGGAATGGTCTGGTCTCTCTTCTTTGGACTGGTGGGGCAGGAGTGATATAGATTTTCACAACTCCTTCTTTAAGGCATCAAAATGCTCTTGATATAACAGCCAACTTACAGGGAGCTTGGCTGATAATGAAAATTTCTCCTTCCAGAAATCCTATACGGTTCCTCTCCATCCTACAGCATTCATGAAATGAGAGAGGCCCTTATGCTAGAATATGAAATGTAGACCTCATGACTTTTCAAAAATAAAGTGAACTGTCAAGCTTCTTAGGAATTCTTAGAAGTGTGGCTGAAGTATTGTACAGACACACACTCATACACTGGACTTATTTGAGCAATTTTAAAATTTCCAGCGCTAAATCCCAAGCCATGTCCTCTGGGTCTTATGTAGTCATTCTTAAAACCAAACAACTTCTGGTTTCTGAGTCTTCTTGGTCATATCTCTAGCAATTTTTTTCTTGAACTTCTAAAAAGTTCAAGATATGTGTGCATACTTAATTCACTTAGATGATCTATAAACTTGGATGGTATTTATTCTAAATGGGTACAAAGCAGAATTTTATATGGGAAATCTATGTAATTTATAATGGTTTTCTTTTTTATATTATATTTTCATATATTTAGGGCACATCTACTGCTATTCTCATCTTTTTGTACATCATACTTGACAAAAAGAAATACTTATACTTGACTAAAATCTCTAGGAACCAAATGTGATGTATGTAAAATATAACATAAAGGAATCACTCTAAAATTGCCTGAGTGTTCTCACCTACCACATTGTCGTGCCATGTCATTATGTCCATCTCGTTGGGGATGCTTGTAAGCCTTTCTACAACTAAGGCTGAAAGGCCCAACATCCCACACAATGGATACTGGGATTCCCTTCCCTCGTCTTTTTAATTGTTTGGCTCATTTTCAATTGCACAAGTCTGAGTGTTTCAACTTCCTTTGGAAGGGCACATGTGAGATTACAAAAAAAAAGCAACTTGACAGGTAGACTGAGTGCATTGGATCATGGCTATGTAAATTGTTTTAATAGATAGCATGTTTTAAATCTAATGCTTGGGTTGTTATTCACCAGTGATCTAGGATCTGCTCAGCTCTGTAGCATGTGAAGAAAATGTCAGGCACAGAGAACACCTGCATGTTTTGAACAGGGACACTGACCATCAGTGAGCTGCGTGCAATGCAGCCAACACAAACCACCTCGACTGTAGAAATACCAGCCCCCGCTGCTGGAAGAAATATTTTAGGAAGGCAAATCAGTCACCTTTCAGCATTCAAAATATGGTGTATCAGTGCTAAAACGTAAATGGCAATCCCTCTGCTTCTGTTAACTGGAGATTTCCTTTCAGTGTTTTCAATTGGTAAGAAATGGAACATTAAATTATATTTCAGATAATGTTTTTTTTTTCTCAGCACAATTCAACTACTATCCTTTACCTATTTTCACCTATTCTTTTGGCATTCCCCAAAGTAATTCCTATTTCTAGTCTTGCTTTTTAAGTTAACTTTAAATATCTACCAAACCTCATGGTATATTCACCCATATATTTTGAGCACCTGTTATCTTCAAGATATTGGTCACTTCTACATTCACCTATTCATTAAAAAAGAAAACCCTCAACATAGATAGCAAAGTTAATCTTCCTAATGACATTTTTATAATTATGTTCAGTGATGAGCAGGTTTGGATTAAACAGATCAATTGTGGGGGGAAATAATCAAATAGAACAGAATTGCTTATTACATTTCCCAAAGAACTCAGTGTTTACCTGTTAGACAAGAAAATATGTGAGGATGATGACACTCTTTAAATGACTGTTTTTTTAAGAGGTGGAATTTATTAAGGGGCTAATGCTAAGAATCTTACAATCAAAATGAAAGCTATTAAAGGAAATGTAAAAATAGAAGTAGTTCTAAGAATATTCTGGCATAAATTATTTTCATTTGACCAGTGATAAAAGCCTCCCAATGTAACTTTCCAGCACCATGTAACAGCTAATAATGTTATGATCAAAGAAGACGCTTTCACCTGTGTTTGGGTTGCTGTATTTCAGTAGTTCTGAATGTCCTTTGTTAAATTGGAAAATAAGATGAAAAAATGTGGGTGGAAATGTCAATCTGATGATTATGTGAACTATAAAATGTTCACTTTTAAAAATATATTAAGGATGTAAACAAATGACTAATATAAGTTGTCATTACTGTAGAAAAAAAAAAAAGATCTATCTTGTATCTTGATTGTTGCTTTAATAAAGGGTTTGCACAAGTGTGTGGAATGTGTATCATTTCCTACCTGAAGGGCATGTCGTTGTAGCTTGATTTACTCTTCCCAGGGATATGAAATCTGTAGTGGATTCTTATCCCCACTTTTGACATCTGCAGTACTTCTTGGGAAAAAGAAAAAAAAACGAACCATTTTTCTATGTAAAACTGCAAAATTATATCCTATTTCAGAAGATTTAACTCTTTCCTGACAAATTTCAAAGAGATTTTTATCTATATATCAAAATCATTTGTAGCACGCAACATCAGACTTGCTCTTAAGATTGCCAAAATGACTGGGAAACTCTCAGAAGAGTGCACAGAAAGAGAAGGTATCAGGAACAGAACCACCATGGATTACCTGAACAACACCAAATCAAAGGTTAAGGCCAAGTAGGTACTTTGAGGATCAGTGAGCTGCAAGAGCTTGATTCCTTTTAGAAGAGGTGAGTGTCCTGGTGGATGAGAAAGGAGACTTAGCAAGTGAAAAATTAACCAAAAGGACAAAGTCGGTATTCTTCTGTAGAGCACACCAAACAAGCAAGCAAAATAATTGAGTGGTTTAAAAAAAAATTATATACACACACAGCATTCACATATATATATAATTTTTTTTTTACTTGAACATCTTGCAAGTGAAATCCTAAATGGGGAACTCATGTAGTAGACTATTCTGTTGTTGATAGATTTTTAAGTGCTGAGTCAAAAGTCTTAAACACTGTCCCTGGTCTTTGTTGAGCTGGGAACCTAATGCACTCCTTGACACAAGAAAATTGTCTGCTTTACTGACAATACATACTAAAATCATATCCATATAAAAGGTTGGGCACTCCTGCTGCTACTACACTAACTACGTGTACCACTGGGAAACAGGAGTTTCAGATGGTTTCTGCTGATAGGGATGTTGTATTAGTCTTTTTTTTTTTTTTCCATTACTATGATGAGACAAGCTAACTTTGTAAGGAAAAGAGGTTTATTTAGTTGACAGTTTCAGATGCCAAAAGTCCAAACAGCCAGGCAAAGCCTCTTGCCAGGGCTCCCCTTGGTTGCGTCCCTCCATAGTGGATGCCAACATTAGAATCCAGGATTGCAGGTGAGAGGAAGAGATCAAATCTTGAAAGGGCCAGAGAGGGATGAAAGCCCCACCAGTCCTTACAGGTGGCTCATGGACCTTCCACTGGGTCCCGTCTCAAAGGTCCCACCACTATACTGAGGACAAAGCCTCCCTCACGTGAAACTTGGGGGGGGCAAATCACATCCAAACCATAACAGACATTAAAGCCAAAATCAGGTTCTTTCTCCACCTCCTTAACACATACCCAAAGCCTAAGACTCAAATAAAAGGTGGTTCAAAAGCCAGAAAAAAAAATGTATATACAAATCAGCTGATTCATTACTTCAGTAGATTAATGTGGTAGGTTTTTGTTGTTGTTGTTGTTGTTGTTCAATCCCTGTTGTACCAGG